TTATTGTTGAAAAACAAACTTGGTTGAAAGATAGTAAGGGGACTAAACTCCCTGTGAAATTATTCTTTCTGGGAAGCTGTCATTTTGAAGTAATCAACAAAAGAAGGCATTTCCAACGGTGATTCTTAAGAAGCACCGTAGGAAAATTTAAATTAGTAGTTCGTTTGTTATTCAGCGCAGCGCGCACAAGTATTGGAACGATGCACACGCGCGCGCGGTTGTTATAATTCGTCGGATCAGTGCGCGACGTCGCGTATAGCTGCAATTCAAAACAATTCAAAAAATGATTCAGTAACTTTGGATTTGAAATTGAGATCTTAGAATGCTGTTTTTCTCAGAATGTACAGCTGAAGCTTAGCTGAAACTTCATCAGGTTAGTTGCTCAGTATCCTTCATTAGATTTTGAACTCTTTTGTTGCTTCAAACGAACAAAATGCACAAATTACAAATGATGGACTGTAGCTTTAAATATATACAATGTAACAGCAACTAACATTCCCTCGGATCAGCTTGATTTTCTCATTTGTAATTATAACTTCCTATTTGTGCCACTCCAAATTGGAAAAACACTGTAGAATAACTCATTGCAGCTTGGAATGTCATCTGTTTTTTGTGATGTCCCTGTTTTGTATTGGGGAGTCGGGTTGGCGTAGCAGTACTTTCCTAGCCTTCCACTGCTGTGACCCCGGTTCGATTCCCGCCTGGGCCAATATGTGGATTGGGTTTTCAGTCCCTGCTGGTACCTGATTCCGTGGGTGTTCCTCAGATATCCCACATCTAAAACTCATTTCCTGACATTGTCTTCTGTCTTACTGGGCCCCGTGTCTTAATGGGCTACCCAGTTATCATAAGAAAAACATAAGTAAATGGATACAGACATCTCTATTCAGCTAGAACCTTTAAACTTAAACTTGTGCAATCTATTTGAAATTTGTTTTTAACTCGAAAAATGAAAAGAAATCTGGATGTCAGTACTCGTGTGCAATATGATACACACTGCGTCGCCGGCCGTGAAATGTACACCGTATACAATCCGGTAGATTTCTTTAGTATTGATGCAAGCCGTTTGTATAGACCATAGACCCACGGTATGTATAGATATAGGCCATACTCGTAGCTGTGTTGGGTGTATATCACGCACTGCAGTATGGCCCTGATTATGTTCCACATGCCAGCTGAAGCATGCAGAATTTTACACATATGATACCTGGTATCTAATTGTAGCCACCAACCTTTCAGATTATAAATCATCAGGGGCCACGCGTTCAAATATGTGCATTTAGTTTGTTGTGTGTACCGCTATCACATACTTCTCTGTAACATTTTAAAAATTAAAAAAATTGGGACCAGATTCATTAGCACGGATTAACTTTGGAGGATCCTTCAAGCACAGGCCCTCTACACAAGGATATAAACAACTTCCCCAAATTTCTGGTTAGAGGTGTGATATGGCACTTGTGCGTCGTGCGTGCGCATGCGCAAGACTTGGCGAACGACTGCAGTCTTTCAGTGGTCAAATTTCTGTCAGCACGCCAGCTGTCGGCAATCATGGCGCGCGCTGATTGTTCTACATGTTCCATGTGTTGTACTATGCGCGGTCGGGGCATAACACCCATGTAGACAAACCGTTCCATACATTTTGTACACAAGCTTAGATGAGTCGTTCATCCTTGTGTAGAGGATCCGTGCTTCAAGTAACCTAAGTTAATCATTAGCTTTAATATTGCTGTTTGGGCCAACTTTAATGACTCAGATTTTCAAAATCACCTATTAATGGAGACCATGCAGTGCGCAAGAACAAAAAAGTGCCATTGGAAGAACCTCATGCAACAGCCTACTCCCGACCCTCTGTTTTTCTGAATATGCACCGAGCAGTATCCACTCCGTGCACAAGTATACCCCCCTCAATGGTATGGAAGGGAGAGTCGGGGGAGACTGGCTGGAGAGACATTTGAACGCATTTCCAACGACGCCTGACGCTCGAACAGGCGAACCTGATGCCAAAGACGCCGTATAGCTTTGTGCACATTCAGAATAAACTCAGTATTGCGTATTTCGTGCTATACGCATGCGAACAAGTGCGTGAATGCAGTGAGTCCCCACCACAGGGCTTTCGAAGTTCGTAAAAAAAAAAAACCCTCTTGTTGGCACAGGTGCTCATATAAGATCTTCAGTTCAGATGAACGCACTTGAAAATTGAGCATGATGTTTGCAATTGACAGCAATTGCATTAATTCAGATGCCCCTTGTAAATGTTCCTATCTCTTTTATTTTCACTATTGACGGGTGCTGTATATCCATTCAAACATGCAGCAGTGGCATGTCAACATTGGGGGGAGGGGGACAGGCGATCAGCAGCTTGGAAAATTGAACAGCAATATTACTCGATTTAGGAAAAAATACAGTGCAAATTTATGAACATAATAATTGGGTTAAAAATCAAGGGATAAATTATTGAGGTTGCGGGGGGGGGGGGGGGGGGGGACATGGCCCTTGGCGTCCCCCACCCCAAAATTAGTTTGGGGGCGGGGACATGCCCCCCCCCCCCCCATCCCCTCCAGGATTGCCGCCCACATAGTAATACTAATTTGTTTCTGTGGGCCATCGAGCAGCTCTGTGACCTTTGCCCCCAGCTGCATGATTGCGGGCTGCAATTAGAGTGTGTAATTTCATACAGCGTGCCAAAAAAAGATGACACACGATAAACTGCACACTGATATTGAATGAAACAATGGCCCTAAATCAATTGCATCAATGAAACCTGCAGGTCATGTATAAACTGGACTGCTGCAAAAAAACACCATAGAGGTTTAACGCACGTATGCTACCAGTATCCATGAGTTATGGGTCCAATTTCAACTAGGTGTCGCTGTGTGCTTGTACATGAGGTGCATTATACATATGTTTACCAGAATATTTTGTGCTATAAAGTTAGCATAATTCCCAGGGTGATCGACATGTAGCAAGGAATTTATGCGTGTGTAGGATTCTGTGCTCATAGGGTTAGGTTCACATAAAGCTAGGTTAGGTTCATGTAAAAGCATGATAAAAAGGCGTGCAACAGATTTTCAGCTACCGGCATGACCGGTATGTATACCTGGACAAAATCATTGTTTCATCTGAAGGTTTTGTGCTGATATACTGACATTTTGCTATAGACGCCGTGCATAAACAGTAGACGGCGTTTTATGTGACCATTTTCTAGAGCCCAAGTGGGAAGGACACACCGCGTGCGCGCACTAGTTTGTGATGGGCCTATGGCGGGAAGCATGCACAACTTTTCATACGCACAAACCCATGGGTCTTTGTGAGAGCATGGGGCGGGGTCAGCAAAAGAAAGTCCCTCCCTGGGGTCTTCCCCAACCGTCCCTTTGTAACCAATGAGGGGGGACTTCTGCACGGAGTCCATAGGCATGTGCATCAGAACCATTGTGCCCGCGAGTACCCGACATGAAGGCTGGATCCAGAACACATTTCTTGGGGGGGGGGGGGGGCCAAAAATGTTAGGTCCCCTAAAAAGTTAGGTCCCAGTATTTTTTTAAATTCTAGATGCTGTGTAGTGTGAACTGCGGCAATTTCTGACCACTTAAACAAAGTTTTTTGAGGAAAAGATGGTGAAAAGATGGTGGTGTACGCAGAAAAGAAAAAAAATTGGGTTCGTTATAGAAACTTCTAAGGTAAAAGAAAGATTTGGAATGCCATTTGTGGGGAATTTTCAAAAAGAAAACCAGCTAGGCTACATGGAAAACCAATACAGATTTCACGTTTATGTGCATTTTAAGGCACAACGGAGTGCTCGTGAAAGTTGCAGGTTACCGCATATCAAGCTATAAAGCCCTTCAGACAACTTCCAGGATTTGAATTTTGGGGTTGGGTTTCTTTCACAGGCACCCGTGTTTTACTTCAAGAGTATGGGGGTCCTGTACTACCCGTAAATGCACACCACTAATATAAACAGCTCAATTCATTGTCTAATATCATTAGTGTCAAGTATAATGTCGGTCATTACATGCATCCTTAGGGGGACTTGCCTGCTGACGAATTTCGGTTAAACCTCAAAGCAGGCGGATTTGCTGATTCGGAAGGTTCAAGTTAAGGTACATGTCCTTGTCTTATTCCTTGTGTTGGCCCTTCAATCTGGCTTAGTTATCAGGGTGTATGCAATGTTGCATGGCATACTGTGTTGCAGTATCTGACTGGCCGTGTTCATCAAGTTGAAAGCATCTGATCCAATATCAGACAATTCAACGTTCAAGCCCGCAGGATATAATTGACCCAGAAGCTCATCAATTACAGCGTGCCCATACGTACACATAAGGCCAATGACTGTCTGCGTTGGCATCAAGTAAAATGGAATTACAGTAAAAGTGTTCTCTTTTGAAGATGGAATTAAGCTTTTGGAGTGCCAACCGTGGTACGGTAGTGTGTGCAGATTAAGTTTTGGAATGCGAGTGAAATCCATGCAGAATTTCTCGATTTCAAGCATAATTTACTGATTTTTGGTGGTTTTGCAAAATTGACAGGAAACTTTGTCCTGTCATTTTTAGTTGACATTTTCTACATGATAGACATGTCGCAGTGTTCCTCCTTATTATAGTGTAACTCCCGAGTGGAATTACAATAGAGAGGAATCTATTTTTAGGGCTGAAACCCGAAAATAGCAGGGCTAATATCTGTTAAAAATCCTGCAAAACTAGATGTTGACTTGTGATTTGGAGTAGATAATTGAGCATGAAATAATGTCGGTGCATTTAAAATAAAATCTCCTGCATGTACTTGTATGTATGTTTTTAGTCACTTCTGTTTCTGGCCTTGAATGTGTGTAATCAAATTCTATTGATGCATTACAATGATAATCAGATTTCACTTCTATTTTAATACAAATGTATACGTATACATCTCTTTTTTTTAGTCTTGCATGTTTACAAAAATACGAATTTTGAATTTCAGGTTTGCATCAAACGATGTGTGTTCCTTAACTCCAACCTTTCCCCTCGCAGAATCGAAAGCAAACATGAAGTAACGATATTGAAGGGAATCAACGAGCTGATGGTCAAATTTCACGGGCCAAAAGGAAGTGAGTGCACACGTATCTGATTATAATGAGCCACTGTACATGTATGTAATTAGTTGCTATGCCTTGAGTAAATTCTCATTACACGGTGATCGGGCCCTCGTCAAGTGATTCAATGAAAGGTCGTTTGAGGTCAGGTTTGTTTTGCAATAGAGGTTCACAGAGAGGACTGACGAATTTCCACTTCAGCGAAAAACGGATAGCGATAATTGACTTCTGGATTTTTTTGAGTTGAATACGAGATATTCAATGTGTGCAGTAAAGAGGCACAAAACATAAAGGCTTCACAAAATGCATAGTTTGTTTGTTAATGTTGGTTAGGTTAATTTTTTCTTTTGAAATTTTTCTGATACTTGTACTCAATTTTTTTGACGTGAGGATCCACTGCATGACACATTGGTGAAATGTGAGACAGTTTCTTTGTTAACATGGTTATAATAGATGAATTGAAATGACAATTATTGCCAGTGGAAAAGTTTCGTTTTTGAAACATGAGAATCATTGGCTGTGCATGTGCGTGCTCAATAATGATTTTATGGTGTTGTGACAGGTTTTGTGACGGGGAAAATTGGAAAACCCCAAAAGAGTTTTATTTGTTAAACTTGTTTTCCCTCCTAGTGCATCAAATACAAAGGTACTATTATCTGGAGTCAATTAGGGGATTGTTTGTTTTTTTCTGAAAGTCGTATGTTTTTTGGACTTTGTTTGCCTTATCTCTTTTTAGATGTAGATACACATGTTGTCTTGTCTATTTTAGGCAAATTCACACTCCACAAATTGCATTGCCAAGGAGCTGTCATTCCATTTATTTAGTCATTTGGTGTGTATAGACCAGACATCTGTTCAAAGGATTTAATGTACTGCTGTAAATGCATGGCCACCATCAACTCAATAATAATTTGCAATTTTGTCTTGTTACAAATTCTGAAAATTGTTATAATTCACCTTGTATTAATTATCAGTTTCCCTTTGTGGTGCATTTGAGAATTTGTTACAATTTCTGCGACATTAAAAAAAAAATCCTCGCATTAGGGAAGACTTTACATGGAAAGAGTGAGTCAAAAAGAAAGTGACCCGGATTAAATTTTTTTCTCCCCTAAAAAGCATTTAAATTTGTCATACCAACGAAGCATGTATTAAACGAGCATACATGTAGATGTTCTTCAACTCATTTGTTAAATTGAATTACTGAAATTGATCCATACTTTGAGAAGTTATACATTTTACTAAAAGGATTCATTTTTACTGCTGTCCATGGAATGCCATTTGAGCTGAGTGAGAACCAGAGATTACACACAGGCCTGATGAGGCATTAAGATACAAATGGGATTTTACATAATTTTTGTCAAGACTGAAACATCATTGTTACTGTCAGATTTTGTGTTCGAGTGTGAGGAATTTTTTTTCCGAAATAAGACCAATGATTTTGAATTTTCGTTCATTCATGAACACGATGAAGGCAGAAAAATGCCCTTTTTTTCATTGTGAACGGTGAATGATCATCAATTAGTGGACATCTGAATTTTGTGATCTTTGTATTAAAATAGACATAACTTGTGAACATACATGTAGTATGCAAATTATGTGAAATTTTCACAGTTACTAGTCAGTGGTATGTACTTGATCCCCACGTTATTTTTATGAAATGGACAGAGCCACATAGTTTGAAAAATGTTTGTCTTTGTTAGGTCACTTTGTTTTTGTCTCGCCCTGTATACTGGGAAAACACTGAAAGGCAATCGCTTGGACGCTTGCAAGGAAACAAGTTGTTCTGTAAATATATTGTTTTCATCTGTAATGTGCCTGTGGCAGTTTGTAATATGACAACTTCATTTGGCAAGTTTCCAGAGGTTGGCACAATATTTCCTCTACCTCAACTGACTCAGCGCTTATAGTTTCTTTTTATCGCCAACATCATGCACAAACCAGGGTGATCATAAATGCCTCATTTGATTAACGTCCTTTTCAAACTGCGTGGCAGTTTTGCTCTTGCATTGCATATAAAATGCAAGACTTGTAAATTGGGTTGTTTTTTTTAAGCGGCTCGTCCAAGCGTGCCGGCATGTCGATATTAGAATTGCCTGCAATTTTAGTGTGTGGAACACTAACAACGTCAAGGCATGTTTGTAAAACATGCCAATTCGACAAGTATGCAGTTAACTCATAAATAATTACATTCAAGAATAGTGATGAAAACATTAATGTGCATTGACAGTGCATACTTAATGTACAAAATGTTCTTCAAACCTTGTGCTTGACAGCACTACAGCAGAGCAAGATAATTACCATACTTTTTTTTATATAAATATTCACAAAAATTTAGTCCTGTAAAATTATTACCCCCCCCCCAAAAAAAAAACCACCTTAAATATGAGTTCATTTGAAATTTCCTGTGTTACTTAACTTTACCAAGTTGACAATGATTTGAGCTTCAAATTCTCAGCTGTTGTTTGGAAAAGGAAGTGAACATCATGAGACAAATTCCGTATTAGAATAAAATTACAGGAAGCAATGTTGTGTTTATGGGATGACACTTGTCATGGGAACAAATGGCAGGATATACATGTATCTGTAAATTGCTTTTCAGTGCATCTGTTGCTTTCTTTGAAATTGAGAATCCCGAGATCAAAAATTTGCCGAATGTTGACAAAAAATTGAACAATTTGTTTGCTAGAAAAGGTACGTGCATGTGATAAAATATGAAAGCTAAAATTATTGAAAGGGCTAAGCAAACAGATAAAACTGCATCGTGATCTAAATGGCTCTACTCCAGAAATTGTACTCTTAAAATTTCTGAAAAACCAGTAAAAAAAAAAACAAATTAGAATTTTCCAAATGTGAAAGACATGAAATCAGATAAGTGCCTGAGCTCTCCAACAGACGAGTCGGTCAGGTAACCCAACGCTGTTATCCAGCTAGAGCAATAATGTCACACCGACATTCATAATTGCATAGACAACAATGAACTACAGCTAAATTAAACACCTGTCACCCTGCATACTTAGGATGGGCCGCAGTTAATAATTTTTTATTATGCAAACACTTGTAATTGTTTTTTTTTAAGTTCTTTTATTGTAGGTCTGTTGTAGATAGCTCAAAAATATTTGTTGTTATTTATGTTCTTTTGTACCCAGTAATTAAATTTAGAATCAAATGAAAAAAATTGTCAAAATTTAGGTGACCAATGATTGGCATAACAATATGTATAGGCCTACTGTAAAACTTGAAATATTCTCCCAGCTTGAGCTTATTTTTTGATATGACAAGTAAAAAACATACTGTCTGTCGATGCACACATTTGACATTTTACATTCCAACTGAAATTTTAGAGGGAGAAATGCTGTTGGTTTAATTTTCCGATCAACTTGTCCCTCATGAGATTTTTTTTTTTTTTTATAGATTATTTTCATGCCTTGCAAATCTCCCCCCCCCCCCCAAAAAAAAGGTCTGAAGTTTTTTTTTGAAATGTGTTTATAACCAAACAGCTTCTTTCCAAAACCAATTATTCAGAAATTATTTAATTGGTTTGGACTATTAAAAATGTAAGTGTACATAATTCTATAGCCATAAATTATCAATGACGAGCAGGGTCAGGTATTAATTAGATGTATAATCGTTCAAAAACAATGAAAATATGAAATCAATACATTGTCAAGTCAAGAACCATGTCCATATAAAACTGCAACATGTTACATCCATGTACATATTTTATGTCCACACGTATGCATTCACAGTGCGTCCCAATACTGTACGTGCGCACGTAATTTTTATCAGCTGTTCCTATAATAGGCTCTCCCTGTTCAATTTGCTTCACTTCCCTATGCATAACCTTGATCTGAATGCGGCTTCCTCCGTTGTCCAAAAAAAATGTGGACACAGAATTGAATCACAGTCCTAGCCCCCTTGTGTATTCTTCGGAGACTGGGATGTGGTCATGTAGACACTCTCTGGAGATAAGAGAGCGTTGGAAATTTGCATTTCGCTAAAGACTTGGCTCCGAGGGTGGAATTTTTATTTGGAAATTTGCCACATGATACGAATTTTCAATGAGACCCGCTGGGAATGTTACAGTGCAGCGATTGCAAACATTGATGTATGTGCGCTCAGCAGATAAACACACATTGTAAATATTATGAATGCTGTGATTGAGTATGAATGACTTAATAAGACAAATTCTGAAATCGTGGAACCTTGAATTGGATATAATGTGAACTGAAATGTTTAGACACTTGAATTCTGGCGAGACTAAGTTTATCTGTATAGTCAGTTAGGCACCTTAGCTAAACCGACCGAGTGTTCTTTCGCTTAAGGTTCGTGTTCTTACCAATCAGTCAGGCATTGTTAAGGAGAGCGAGAAATCGTGGACTGGACAGCAACGTGCACTCAAGCGGGACAAAGTTAATGAGCTGGCCGGCCGTGCATCTTTGTCATCTCAACAGTAGATCTCATGAATAAACATGATGTCACTAGCAGACTCATGAATACCAACAGCTTGTACGCAGACCAGTCGTGCCAATTCTAGACCCTAGTTCACTCTTTGATATTAAACAAAAATTCTTGACATACGGAACTCGTGTTGTTGCAACATAGACTTGAGCAGAAAACTTGACAGCTGATTCGATATTAAATAGACATTTGCATCTGTTGGCATTGCAAAAAATTGGGCAACTACATGTAGGTGAAGTTTTCATAGGAGAATGGGAAATAAAGTCTTTTTGTTAGGAGAGTAAGTAAGGGAAAAGTTTGAAGAAGTTGCGACTGTGTAATTTTGGGAGAAAATTGCAAATATTTAAAAATGTAGGGCTAAGGTAGCTGTAACCCCCTTTGTAGATGCAGGCAAATCAATTGATGGAATATTGATCTTATTTCTTGTAGCTCCCTATGATGGCGGTGTGTGGAAAGTACGAGTTGATGTACCTGACAAATATCCATACAAATCTCCTTCAATCGGTAAGAATTAACCCACTGTCTGTTTAACTTTTTTGTAGGTTATATTTTTTTTGTGGCCGAGAAACTAGAGACTTTTGATCTGTTTGACTTATATTCAAGTCCCCAAACCTGAGTTCTAGTGAAATGCTTGAGTCCTTTGGATGCAAAGGTTGAGTAAGGGAATAAATGTGTGCTGGGCTGGTTTTAAGCAAGTACGTTTAAAACCGGCTAGGGGCCTGGACGCGGATAATAATAATAATAATAATAATCAGCATTTAAGAACGCTCTTATTAGTAAACTAAATCACAGCGCTTACAGTATTATTATTACCCCTGATCATTGGGCCAATTAAACATTCCAAATACCATCTCAGCTCCCTGGGGAGTATACAGCTCGATGCTGCCTGTTAGGCGCAAACAAGCTTATTCAATCACAATAGCCATCTCTGCCCTCACAGGTACCCATTTACTCCTGGGTGGAGAGAAGCAATGAGTGACAAAGTGCCTTGCTCAAGGGCACACGCACCATGATTATCTGTGACAAGGCCCCTAGCCAGTTTCAAACATACTTGTTTAATACCGACCAAGCACATATTTATTCCCATTTATAAATACCTTTCGGTCAAAAATTCAAAAGTCAAAAATTCACACTATTGCAACAATTTTGTTGAACAATTGACTTAATTTTCTGTGAAACACCCCTCTGGCCATGTATACGGTATGTGCCTCACACGCATAGCGCTAAAAATCTCCTTTTATGGAGATTGGTGCGTGCACAGCTTTTACTGCGCGATGTGGCACAGAACGCAGTACGTGGTGCAGGAATTAAGTGTTTAAAGACCTGTGCTTTACATTGTATCAGCTGTTTAAAACCACCCACGTGACGGGCTCTCAACCAATAGGAATGGGTAAACTGTCTCAGGTATTTATGAATATGGATTAGGGTCATGAGTAACAGAGATCATAAGTCTTACAAGTCAGTCAGCTTTCAGCCAGGTATTACAAGTGTTTCATGTCAATGTAATTTTTAGCTTTGTGTAGTGGAGAGAACAATGTGGGAAAAGTATATGGATACCCTGTGTAAAGTGACTACACTTCAGTGGAACGTCGCCATACCGAACACCGCTATACCGAACATTCGGCTGTCCAGAACATCAGCCTTGGCTCCCAATTTGTGTGTACAAAATGTACTGAAATGTCAACGTTGGAAATGTCAACAGAAGAGCGACAAATGGCTATTATTAAAAACTGTGTAATTACATGATTCAATAGTCGCACGTGTTCGAAGTCGTCTTTCCGTAACTACCAGGTCGTACTTGGTGAAGTGATGCTACGGAATTGAAAATATTAATGGACAAGTTTGGCAACTCCGCGCGTGGTTTGTAAATGCAACTACTCAACAACAATGATCATAAGAGGGCGCCACTAACGTGTGAAACTCGCTACAAACTCGCTATTACGAACAATTTTTGTGGATCCCACGATGTTCGTTATAGCGACGTTCCACTGTATCTCAAACTTTCAGTGAGTATGCTTGAACCGTCATCAGGAGAATGCCTACATTTAAACTCTTACAGACACATTCATTGACATGTTGCACTTTAGCTGATGTTATTGCCCCGTGATGTATGTTTTAATGATTTCACTCTGTTTTTGTTTTTCAGGTTTTCTGAACAAAATCTACCATCCAAACATAGATGAAGCGTAAGTATTAATTTCATTGGTTGACTGGTCATGATATTTGTAGGCATTTTAATTAGTAGCAACACGTGTCGTTTTAGCATTTGCAAATTTTGCATCAGCAGGAAGCCCAAATAACTTTGAAATCTTTCTAAAAATTCTCAATTCATGAACAGTAGATCTTTAAATTGGATAGACGGATAGATTGTCAAACTTACGAAAAAACTCTGTATAATATTTTGATGATACAAACAAAATTAACTCAGATTATCAGATACCGGTAGATCCATTTGGAGCTCACAGACTTTGTGGAATGTGGCTAAAAAAAAACTGACAAAAAAAATGAGTGCCAAATTAGGCAAAACATATTCATATTTTAAATGCCTTCCTGTGTATGTGCTCTATTATTCCCGATTCAGCATAATAATTGTCATGAAGATGGGCTTTTTGTTTTCAGATGTGTTTAGCAATGTTGTAAGACTGACATTACAAATGTCTGTAGCTGGAAAAAAACTGATTCCATCAAAGTGTTCCAGCACACATTGTACACTCTAGATCATAAATTACGCTGAAGGAATTTGCGAACCCTCGGTGTGATTTATTCTCCTTTTAAAAATCAGTTGCCCACGTTTATTCCCTTATTTCTTCTTTCGCAACAGCTCAGGAACAGTTTGTCTAGATGTCATCAATCAAACATGGACGCCGTTATTTGGTGAGTTGCATTGTCAGGCAACTTCAATGTTGAGAGCTTGAACTTAATAAAAATGTTTTCTTGAACACTAACTCCCTAGCATGATTTACTAGGAACCATACCCATCCTGGCAAATTCCAACACCATATGGGAAACTGCACACACATATTTCTGACTTTGATTCTGGAGGTGTGCCAACCCAATATAAAAGTTTAGGGGTTCTGTACCCATCATGACAGATTCCAACAAAACATGCCGTTGGGGTTTGATGGGTTGAGTTCTGTTAAGGTTACGCTGAAAAAGTCAGTCAATCCTAATTTGCTGGAACACGTCACACATATACCGGTAGTAGTAATGAAAGTGAAACAGATAACATAATAAACATTTAAACTCAAAATGTAAACAATTGATTGTAGTATGCTGTATTTCTTTGGTTGTCAGTGATGAGGTTGATTTGAACCCAAACTCACAAATCATTACCTACATGTATATAGACCAATGATTTAGCCCCACCCACTGCGCACGAGGGCGACAAACACGTGCAACTCTCCAATGCCAAACTACATGATACAGCCGTGTGCATCAAATGCGCTTGTGCACATTAGTTGCGGTTGTGATTGGTCGAAACACCAATTTGCAGGGCTTAATGATTGGTCTATTCTTAAAGCATTGCCTCTTATGTTCCAGTGCTTTTTCCCCTTTGATCAGAGTAACAACTTCTGTTTTTGATATTTTTTTTGCCTTTTGTTTTCTTTGCATCTATCAGATTTATCCAACATTTTTGAGTCATTCCTTCCCCAACTATTGGCCTACCCCAACCCCAACGACCCCCTCAACGGTGACGCTGCCGCCATGTACCTGCACAAACCAGAGGAGTACAAGAAAAAAATCAGGGGTGAGTGTCCTTTCGTAGTTAAAGGTAGAGTACATCATTTGTCCATTTATGCATTTTTCTTCGTTTGAAGCGACAAAAGTGCTCGAAATCTAAGGAAGGGTGCTTAACAACTAACCTAATAAAGTTTCAGCTCAGTGAATGCTGTATATTCCGAGAAAACAACATTCTAGGATCTCGATTTCAATTCAAAAGTTGCCAAGTCATTTTTTGAATTGCGCCCGAAATCAGTGTCCGGGACACGTTCTCATTCAGCCGATTGCAGCTACGCAATGTCACGCACTATAACAAGCGCACGCAGGTGTGCATCGTGTCAACGCTTGCGTGCACACGTTTTTTGCTATGCTTCCAAGGGTTTTCCTTTGTTCCCTTATCTATAAACCTTTCCAATAGACTAAGCCCGCAAACCGGCATTCGAGGACAAAGGGACCTTCGATCGAGACCACAAAAGAACCTTTGTGCTCCCTTTGTGTGTGATCCTCGGTTGTAAAGCCATGTAAGAGCACACATTCACAGTTTTGCCGAATTAAAAACCACTAACGGAAATTTCCAAAAATGCGTCTTTAGATGCATCTTTAAAAATGACGTTCTTTCATTGTTTTCTTCAAATGACATCTTGCCAGAAAGAATAATTTCACAGGGAGTTAAGTGCCATTACTATCTTTAAACCAAGTATGCTTTTCAACAATAATTAGCTGCAAAATTATGTACTCTACCTTTAAGTTGGAGTCTGGTCAGTCGACAAAAGCTTGCCTTTGTCATATTTCATTGGAATAACTTGTGACTAAACTTGAGGCAGAATGAATTGTCAATTCTGATTTTTTGGGTTTTTTTGAGAAAAAAAAACATTATCAGAATGAATTGTGATTGACTTGTGAAGATTTGAGTGGCTTGGTTTCAACACAGTCTCACCAAGGCTTTCCTATAGTCTGCGTCTCATAGTGAATGGCTGTCATCTTTGCTACAGAAGCGTCAACTCGTTGCTGTGGTTCCTGTTGGATTAAGCAGGGTAAGGTTGGAAGAAAACATGCATGCCAGACATTCAAGAGCCTAATATCTCTTTTCCCCACACCCCCCCCCCTCCCCTTTTCTCCCAGAATTCGTTCAGAAATACGCAACAGAGGAAGCGCTACGAGAACAAGACGCCCAGTCATCATCCAGTGAAAGCTCCATGAGTGACTTCTCAGAGGACGAAACACAAGACATGGAGCTATAGCATGCACTGTACACCCGGTATTTTTTTATGTTTTTAAACATAGTTGTATTTATGTGGGAGCATTTTTTATACTGTACGGAGGAAGGGTAGGCTCTTTTCAATGTATTTTGTGTTCAGACGGGCATTCAGACGAATCGTCTATAGATACGAGTCCCCCCGCTGCCCCCAGATTTGAATAACTTATTTATTTGATGTCGTACGCTCTCCCGTCCACTGAAAACAGAAGATTTGTTTTGCAATTTAACTTGAACTAACCTATGCATTTGCAGAGATAGCCCCCACATTGACTCTGTAGACCAATTTTGTAGAGTCATGTCGCTTTACATTGTAGCACTGCTTTGCCCCCCGAAAAGCTTATGTCCAGCAGGTGCATAATTATGTGCTAATTTTAAAGTTTGCCATTAGATTTCCAGAGGGTTGATGCAACTTTGTTGGATTTTTGCATATTGTGCATGGAGTCTATGATTGGAGCACAATATTAACCCTAACCCTCCTCAACCCTCAAAAATCAACCAGGCAGTTTTGGAGGAGTTTGGAGGATTGAGGCTGACTGACACAAAAATGTGTCCATTGTTTTTGGAGGATGCATTGTGTCGAGTTCGTAGGCTGCACCCTGCATTGTTTATGTTCAGCCATGCATAATTGAGCCCTGCATTATACTCGATATCATCCGCACTGCTTCTGAATGTCATCGGTACAGGCTCAACCCATTAACAGTGCTTGTTGGAGGAATTTTGAAGGATTGAGGCAGTGGTCACCCCTCCACTGAACAAATTCAAGAAATAACAGATGGTTTTGGAGGATTGGGCCTGTACTTTTTACATGGTGGCAATTAGAGGATTTTGCAGGATTGAGGATGGTTCCTAGCCAAAAGGGCCCAGGGGGTTAGGGTAGTGTGAAAGGTGATATACCTTCTGATTTCCATGGAAATTGAAATCTGTTAAACTTATTTTTTTGTCATTACATCAAGGTAAGGTTTGATAGTTTTATGTTCCAATCCAGTCGTATAACGATCAAGAACAGATCATTTTAAACACTAAAGACATGTATATTGAAAAGAAACCCATGAATTGAAATCTTGAATGTGTGGCCAGGTGGCCAATGATAATAAATCATTTAGAATTTTTCAATTCATTGTTTTAATTTGTCACACCAAACCATTAATTATCTAAAATACTTTCACAAAAGAGATGAAATGGGAAAGTGTCAGCAAAAATTGAATAAGGAAGATTGACACAAGTTGGAGGTGAACCTGCAACCTTCAACATTCCACACCTGTGCTCTACCAATTGTATTTATTTTATTTTATATATTTATTTTGACAACATCCAACAACGCAAGTGCCAGAACATGATGGAAGACTTATTTCCAGTTGGGTCCCTTGGTAGAAGATGTGGAAGGAAATTACAGTTTTAGTGGTGGGAGGAAAACCCCAGAATGATATTCTAGGGAAAACCCACGGAATCAGCTAGGGACTGAAAACCCAATCCACATATTGGCCCAGGCGGGATTCGAACCCGGGTCACAGCAGTGGAAGGCAAGGAAAGTACAGCTTCACCAACCTGGGCAAAATTTCATGGCGCTGCTTAACCAGTTCGCCCCGGATGACGTTTATACACGCAAAGGTTTTGTGGTTTTCGGAACGGATGACAGATAAACACGCAGGGAGCGAGTCCCGAAATATCTGTCAGCGACCCGCTCGCAGCGAGCGAGACTGGTTAACAGTTAGCAGAAAAGTTGTGCTTACTATAGCAGAAAAATGTGCTAACCTTGATCACTATTTCACGGCATGTATGTGCCAACAGTTGCGCGCGCATGGTGATTTCTATTGTTACGTCACTAAGTTAAGCAAGATTTTCCTCTGAAGTAAGCGTGCCTTTTGCTGTGCATGCTTACAGTCTCCATGAAATAGATGGAGGCTCTTTTAGCATAAAATTGTGTGCTTCGCAGCTCCATGAAATTAGGCCCTGATCCCCAACTGAACTACTGTTACCTTGCCCATGTACATGCATTTTGGTGGTCTTCAAATTTTGAATACCTTTATTCAGCAGTGTTTTTGGCTTGATCACCCCAAACAAAGAATGTTGGGCTACTAAGTTCAGTTGGTAGAGCACCAGTGTCTTATCCTGTAATTTTTGTTTTTCACTCTGAAATTCATCGTTAATTCAGCTGAGGCAGGAACAGGCCAGTTCATTTCTAACATGACAAACTTCGTCAAAATAAACCCCTGCATTCTGATTGTGTATATTACTCTTATATTAATTTGTGGTTGTGGAATTGATAATGCCGATAACGTCAACATATTTGTAATATGATATTTAACTTGCTGATATGTTCAGCATTTTTTTCGGTTATAGTTTTCTTTTGGGGATGCCCCTGATTGCGCAAAAAAAGGATTGCTCAAGCAAGTTTTCTCTGGGAAAATTCTTGAAATTGAATTATGATTGTTTTTGGACATAGCGCTATAGTTCTTTTCAAAATTGTGGTGAAAACCCTGGTTTGGCTAAAATTGACCCGCAGATTTTTTGGGTTGAAATCAGAAAATATTCTCAGTCCGAGTTTGCCAAAATTGACAGGTGTTTGAGGAGCCAGTCAGCTTTTAGATGTCTGTACAAAAATCTTTAGATGTCTGGTTACCAGACCCCTTGTGATTGATGCCTGGCTTACACTCATTGTAAAATTGCTGGCACCAGTCTATTTTGAATAACGATGCTGATTTGCTTGATAAGTCTCGAGTGAAATATTGTGTTATTCTGCTGAGATTATTGTCTGATTTTGTTGGTTTTCATAGTAACTCCTTGCGCAGTTAAAATTGCTCCCAGCCCATAGAAAGTAATATAATTGTATACAAACAAAACAAAAAACAGTATTTATCATTGAATGGAATCCCTTCCTTCCAAGATTTACTATTGTTGATATTTTTCGTGTATATTATTATTAATCCAGTTTAAACTATTGTAAGATATCTATAAATATATATACATATATCTAATTAATTCTAGGAGAAAAAAAACAATTAACGGTTGGAATAGGCAGTATAGTGTAGACTTAATAAAAGAGACTGACTTGGTTTGCTTGAAATTCTAAAGACGTTCTCATGATGATGAAACAACAGAGAAAATTGGTCTTCTCAAAAATGCAATAACAATTTATTGATACGGATATCATGAACAGGTTGTAAGTTTTGGAAGATGAATTTTCTACCGGTCATTGAAAAAAGGCAGTGGGCAAAGGGTTCCTATGTTTTGTCATGGAAACTAGAAATGTCGCAGTGGCATTTTCACTGTTAGTCATGGATGTTAACTGGAGTTTCAAAATGAAAAAAAAAAAATCCATCCAGAATGATCAAGTTCTGGTCCAGGAAAGATGTCGAGGAATTTTACAATGATTGGGAGAGGAAATGGAGCTAGTGAATTCCTTCGGTTTTCACTGATAAATCTTTTTTTAGGAAACTCCTGAAGGTAATTTTCACAGAAATGGTCATGACGGTTGGGTAATATATCACTAGATTTTGATCACTGATTGTACATGTAGTGTTGAAATATCTATGATTGGCCATGGCAAAGAAATTTATGGATCTTTTGCGGTTTGGTCAAGACATCTGATGTGGATATTGCCATTGAAAGATCACATCTTGTACTCATAATTTTCAGCAGTTTTTGTACATGAGTAAAGGAAGAAGGATTTTTAAGAAAGTCGTGAGAACAGCAGGACATTGCACTGAACAACTTCAGTAAAGAGACTATTCCATGAAATAAAGAGTTTGTTTCCACAATATATCCATTTTAATATATGTGAGAAAGTTGTATGATTATGAAAACTTATAAAGCATACAGAGTACCGGTATAACGGCTGTTTCTAAGCTACATTTATCACTTTACTGTGTTCTTAAATTGTGTTTAAGTACTGGTATATATTATATAACTGGCGTACAGATCCTTGTCATTTGATTGGTGGAACTCACATCACGTGACATTCATTATTGTTGCCATTCACGCCGGGGCTCAAAAAGCTCAGTCGCCCATGGTGAATGGGACTATTCAACAGCTAGGATCATCCTTGTGCCATGGCGTGGTATGGTATGGTGTGAGCGTTCTTGTGTTCCCATCAAGAGCCAGTAGCTACAGAGTTGGGTTAAAACATTTCGTGAAGGGTGATTTGGAAGACAGAAATTCATTTCCCACCAATTTTGTATTGAAATAGAAGTTCGTTTTAACTGTAAATCAAATGACAAGGATCTATAACTGACATGTCAGTTATATAAAGTAATTATTGAGTGGCTTTAAATTGTGAACTGGGAGGAATATTATCGCTCGGTAAAATCTGGACTTTTCCATTTCACTTGGCTTCGCCTCATGTAATAAAAAAGTCCAGATTTTACTGAGCGATAATATTCCTCTCATTCCACTCTGACCCACTCAATATTTGTATAACAGTTCTCGAGACTGGCTTTGGGCAGCCAGCAGAGGGCAGTGTACATAAAGGTAACAGATGGCATTTATCGTGTTCTGGAAACAAACTCTTCAAATATGGGACAGTTGACATCTTCGCTGAAACAGCAGTTCCTGCAGGATGTTATGTTTTTGCTGCAAATCTGCCAAGTCACGTCTCTGGATAGAAAACAGTTTTCTTTTTAATTTCCAGATCTTGTGTAAATGATTTGCTTTTTATTTATTTGTTGGTTTAAACAGTGTTTCTACATTATAGTGGACATGTACATATAGAAGACAGGAGGAATCTTTGGGGGGGGGGGTTTTATTGGAAGATTGTTGTGGATTTGGTTTTGCTACGAAAACTGAGGGAAAGAATTATTTGGATATGAAGGAAACAAATCTTACAGCCTGGATAATCTTAAGGCTCTGCTGAACATGATAAAGCCTGGTTCATACTCTGTGCGAAAGCAAAAGCGAAAGCGAAGGCGAATTTGTGACGTCATGGCAAGTATTCGCGCTGCGAATTCGTAAAAGTTGAACATATTTCAACTCGGGCGAATTTCGCAGCGATTGTTTCGATTCGCATTCACGTGAAGTATGAACCAGGCTCAACGTGTGTTTTTAGGTGTCTTGTGTGTCCAAACTTTTGTGCAAAAAAAAGTTCCACCTCTTTTTGATTGCACGAAATATTACACAGAATGCAGATTGGGTTACCACGTCCCCCATAGCCTTGTGTGCATTTATCCTGAAAAAAAATCATGGAATCTTGTTGGGCATCAGACTATTTTGGAATACCGAACTGGCTTATTGTGACATTTCAAGGAAGAATTTTGAGACTTGTTCATGTTTCAGCAGAATTGGTCTTTTCCTTTCCTTTGTTTTGTGTGGACATTGTTATGATCCAAAAGTACATGTATACCTCTGCCTTTTTTTTTCGGTGATTACATTTTTTCACATGTCTGCACTGGTAAGAACATCATGTCATGTGCATGGACCATTCACATAGGCAAGAATTCCAAGCTTACTTGGTAAACTATCTGTGCTAAATGTTCAAACAGGGCCTGAAATGATTGGGGTCTGATAAAAATCTGCCTTGAGATCAAGGCTAAATGTTGGCCAGCACTTGAAGGCCTGTGCCTTTTGCCTAATGATAACTACTGGGACATTTTGGACTTGATCCAAGACTGAACGTTTACTTAGACTCGGTACAAGTTCTGAACTATTGTTTGGTCTTGCCAAAGTTACTTGGCCTTTTTCTTTGGGGGGGGGGGCTTTGATTGCAGTCATATTTTAATGAGTAGCCATTCCTTCCATGGGCAGACTCGATTGTCGTGTGCACATTTTTTTATTAGTCAACAGACAGGCTTGTCCAAATATTCATAATTTATCACATTCTATTAGTAAATAAGTCCCAGTTTGGTTTCTCTTCTAGAAAATGTGCTTTAATGAAGTATCGGTTGAACAAAGCAAATGCCCAAAAATGGAAATTTAACCTATGACCTTAATTTGGAAGATATTTTTGCCTAAATTGCAAGTAATTGTACAGCGTAATTATTTTTTTTATGGGAAATTTAAAAAAAAGTCCAATTAACAGCCTATTTTGCAATCAGATTGTTTAAATCACCTACAGACCCAATAAATTTCCCATTCGAATCGAATTCATAAATTAGTTTGGACAAGCCTGCAGAGTATTGACATCTTTTTGTAGAAATTTGATTGTGCTCTAATAAACGGATCAAGAGGTCAAGTTGATTACTGTCTAGAGTTTTGGTTGTGACTTTGAGAGCAAGATGTTGATATTGTAGATAGAGATTGACAATGAGAAATTAATATGCTTTGTATTGAAACACTTTTTGAAGACGGATTGATGTTGACGGGAACCCAGCACTGGTTTGAATGCAGTTTTATTTGTCCGCATTTTACATTGAATGGATAGGCTGGAAAAATAAGTGGCCTCCAAATCAGGCTAGCTTTCAGTAGGGAAAAAAAAGGACAATTTCAAATTCCCTTTCCAAAACCAACCACAAAATTATCAAACAAGAATTTTAACAAAAAAAAGATGGATTTATATCAGTGGTGTTTGTTGATAAATTATTAAATCAAAGTGTTTTGTTGTTGAAGAAAGGGTTTTGGAATTCCCATAAATAAAGATCCCATTTCCCCAACTGACCCCAAACAGACTCGGGCTTCTAAAAGCTTTTTGCACAAAAAAGTTTCTTTTCCAGCCACAGATATTGATCACCTCAATGTATCTTATTCCTCATGAGAATGACCTTTTCTTTTCCTGTTTGTAATAACCAGTCATACCAAATTGTCCATTACAGTTTGGCATATAAAATCCATCACTGTTTGCACCACTATTGATTTTTTGATGAGAAATGCACCATCCCTTAAAAATTCAAAGTTACTACAATTGGACCAATAGGATTAAAAGAAAATAAAATTATGCACTTTAGATTTGATCAATGTTATGCAAGATAGATGTCGACCACTGTGTTTCCAATGTATTCTGGGGAATCCCTATATGAATGGTGACAAATTTTCGCACCATTTTTTGAGTCACACAAAAGTTGAGAATGAGATATCTCCACACAGAACTGGTTTTGTTAGTAAAACCAATGCAGCTCCAAATTGATCAAAAGTTATGAACTGATCACGATGATGAGTGGATTTTCAAAAGTCTTTACTGACATTTTCAGCATCTGAAGGGTTTTTATAGATATCACATCACTTTTCTGTCTTGAAAAATATTAGCTTGACCTTACCAAAAATAATTTTGTTCAACCCAAAGGCACCTGAAAGGAGTTGACTACGTATATTTCTTTGTGTTCAAATCACGTGTAATAAAGAGGTTCCAGTTTTGCCGTCTGAAAAGAATTGAGAGTCTATGTGTCAGTTATTGAAAGTGGACTTGTTACAATGACATCCAGTTGCACCCCCCCCCCCCCCCCCCCTTCAAAGCACTGTGGTGAAATGCTAATAGTTGTGAGCTAAATAATTTATTAAGCAGAAATTATTGAAAGCGGAAGATTTCTTTTTTTCTATCCTTTTCCCCCACTCATTACAGATAGTCCCTTTTTAACAAAGAAAAAATCCCTCCCCCCCCCGCCCCTTTTTTTCCCTAGGAATGTGTGTAGTCTTAATTCAAAACGTCTGCTTGAGAAGGAAGATCCGCTGCATGCGTGCAGAATTCCTTCAATAACCATGTGATTTTTTCATGACAACTCGAATGCAAGTGACAATTTTAAAATAGCCTGATTAATTACTGCCAATTACAGTGTGAAGCAAAGTGTGAAGGATCAAGGACTATTAAGGGATAGTAAACTACGCCGACTTGTGTTGCAGACTAGTCAAACACCGCACATTGGTAAGTGCGCCCCCAAGAGTTCTTGTATGTTGTGTAATATAATACAAGTACATGCACCATCTACCATGCAGTAAGTGGGTCAACCGTGATTTGATTGCGGCTGTCAAACTTTGAAGCCTTTTCAAGTTTGTTCAAGCGATTAAATATGATAGATGTTTTGTATTCACTACTAGATAGGCCAAATGTATTGGGGGCGTGTTGCCAGTCCACTTACAGTAACCGCCCGCTGTTTGGAGAAGTGTCATCGCGGTGGAAAATTTCAACACACACGGACTTCCTTAAGTTCCTGGATGATCACAGACACAGGCACGGTACACGTAACTGGGAATTCACTCGTTCCTTTGGCAACAATGTCGTCTGCATCGACTCAGCAGTGGTCAGATAAAATGCTGGAAGTTGTTAGATGGAGCAACTCTTTCTACTCTAAAGGTAGGCCTTTAAGCTCGGGACATGTAGGAATCGTGTGGTTCATTTTATCTTTGTCATGTTTGTTTTGTAAATTATTCAGTGAGTTAGTATTTTGGGTAATCCTTACCTTTTAGGACCCCGTTCCTATATAAAAGGTTGAAAGACGCACCAAAACAACTGACTTAATCAATTAGGCCTAGTAAACGACACCCAAAAGTGACATTTTGGTATCAACAGGTTGAATATTGTGGAGGAAAGAGGGCAGGGCTTTGATTTATGAGGGAAATTATGGGGTGTGGGTATTTTGCGGAACTTGCAGAACGTGCAGAACTCTGCGGAACTCTGCAAAATTGTTAATAAAACACTAAATTAAGATGAAATACTGGCTTTAAAAGTACAACAAGCGACAAATCTCATTATTAAGTCCCAAAATCGTCACATTCTACCCTTAAATAAATTGAAAATAAAAGATTTCCCACCTGTTTGTGCCGTCGTATAATAATTGTGTGTAGTATTTGCAGAACAGTGCAGAACACATGCTGTACAGGGATACATGCCGTTTACAAACCAAGGGTGCAGCTTTGACTCAGTGCTCTGTGAAGCACGTGTTTTAAACAGTTGATAGGGGGATAATGTACCGCTGCAGAACGAATTCTGCAGAAGTAACATTATGGTATGATCGTAATGTTTTATTTGCAATGTCAACAATTGTCTTATATCCTCCACAAGTTTATGGGAAGGCCTTCTGTATCAATAGTTCCATGTTTTACCCAGGCAACGCAATCAATGGGTATGGGCCTCCGAGAGTTTCGCGTTTTACACAGGCAGAATCAAAATTAAAAATCATCACAATGTTTTAATTTTAATCTGGATAAGTGTATTATATTCTCAACAACTCCTCTGATTTTTTTCTTTCAGAAATTCACCCGGGAAGTCCTTTTAAAATGAGAGTTCCGCGTGTTACCCACCTTGGTTTTTTGTGCAAATAGGCCTATGCACGGTATGTGCAGTATACGCGTACTGGCTCCGATGCCGTAGGAGGGGGCATCTTTATCGATGCAGAACCAACATTAAAAATCGTCACAATGTTTTAATTTTCATCTGGATAAATGTATTATATTCTCAACAACTCCTGTGATTTTTTTCTTTCCCAAATTCACCCGGGAAGACCTTTTAAAATGAGAGTTCCGCGTTTTACCCACCTAAGTTTTTTTTGTCCAAGTAGGCCTATGCACGTTATGTGCAGTGTACACGTACTGGCTCCGATGCCGTAGGAGGGGGCATGTTTATCGCTGCAGAACCAACATTAAAAATCGTCACAATCTTTTAATTTTAATCTGGATAAATGTATTATATTCTCAACAACTCCTGTGATTTTTTTCTTTCCGAAATTCACCCGAGAAGACCTTTTAAAATGAGAGTTCCGCGTTTTACCCACCTAGGTTTTTTGTGCAAATAGGCCTATGCACGTTATGTGCAGTGTACACGTACTGGCTCCGATGCCGTAGGAGGGGGCATCTTTAGCGCTGCAGAACCAACATTAAAAATCGTCACAATGTTTTCATTTTAATCTGGATTAATGTATTATATTCTCAACAACTCCTCTGATTTTTTTCTTTCCGAAATTCACCCGGGAAGACCTTTTAAAATGAGAGTTCCGCGTTTTACCCACCTAGGTTTTTTTGTCCAAGTAGGCCTATGCACGTTATGTGCAGTATACGCGTACTGGCTCCGATGCCGTAGGAGGGGGCATCTTTAGCGCTGCAGAACCAACATTAAAAATCGTCACAATCTTTTAATTTTAATCTGGATTAATGTATTATATTCTCAACAACTCCTCTGATTTTTTTCTTTCGGAAATTCACCCGGGAAGACCTTTTAAAATGAGAGTTCCGCGTTTTACCCACCTAGGTTTTTTGTGCAAATAGGCCTATGCACGGTATGTGCAGTATACGCGTACTGGCTCCGATACCGTAGGAGGGGGCATCTTTAGCGCTGCAGAACCAACATTAAAAATCGTCACAATGTTTTAATTTTAATCTGGATAAATGTATTATATTCTCAACAACTCCTCTGATTTTTTTCTTTCCGAAATTCAGCCGGGAAGACCTTTTAAAAAAAGAGTTCCGCGTTTTACCCACCTAGGATTTTTTTGTCCAAATAGGCCTATTGCACGGTATGTACAGTATACGCGTACTGGCTCCGATACCGTAGGAGGGGGCATCTTGAGCGCTGCAGAACCAACATTAAAAATCGTCACAATGTTTTCATTTTAATCTGGATGAATGTATTATATTCTCAACAACTCCTGTGATTTTTTTCTTTCCGAAATTCACCCGGGAAGACCTTTTAAAATGAGAGTTCCGCGTTTTACCCACCTAGGTTTTTTTGTCCAAACAGGCCTATTGCACGGTATGTGCAGTATACGCGTACTGGCTCCGATGCCGTAGGAGGGGGCATCTTTAGCGCTGCAGAACCAACATTAAAAATCGTCACAATCTTTTAATTTTAATCTGGATGAATGTATTATATTCTCAACAACTCCTCTGATTTTTTTCTTTCGGAAATTCACCCGGGAAGACCTTTTAAAATGAGAGTTCCGCGTTTTACCCACCTAGGTTTTTTGTGCAAATAGGCCTATGCACGGTATGTGCATTATACGCGTACTGGCTCCGATACTGTAGGAGGGGGCATCTTTAGCGCTGCAGAACCAACATTAAAAATCGTCACAATCTTTTAATTTTAATCTGGATTAATGTATTATATTCTCAACAACTCCTCTGATTTTTTTCTTTCCGAAATTCACCCGGGAAGACCTTTTAAAATGAGAGTTCCGCGTTTTACCCACCTAGGTTTTTTTGTCCAAACAGGCCTATTGCACGGTATGTGCAGTACATGTATACGCGTACTGGCTCCGATGCCGTAGGAGGGGGCATCTTTAGCGCTGCAGAACGAACATTAAAAATCGTCACAATGTTTTAATTTTAATCTGGATAAATGTATTATATTCTCAACAACTCCTCTGATTTTTTTCTTTCCGAAATTCACCCGGGAAGACCTTTTAAAATGAGAGTTCCGCGTTTTACCCACCTAGGTTTTTTGTGCAAATAGGCCTATTGCACGGTATGTGCAGTATACGCGTACTGGCTCCGATACCGTAGGAGGGGGCATCTTTAGCGCTGCAGAACCAACATTAAAAATCGTCACAATCTTTTAATTTTAATCTGGATTAATGTATTATATTCTCAACAACTCCTCTGATTTTTTTCTTTCCGAAATTCACCCGAGAAGACCTTTTAAAATGAGAGTTCCGCGTTTTACCCACCTAGGTTTTTTGTGCAAATAGGCCTATGCACGTTATGTGCAGTGTACACGTACTGGCTCCGATGCCGTAGGAGGGGGCATCTTTAGCGCTGCAGAACCAACATTAAAAATCGTCACAATCTTTTAATTTTAATCTGGATTAATGTATTATATTCTCAACAACTCCTCTGATTTTTTTCTTTCCGAAATTCACCCGAGAAGACCTTTTAAAATGAGAGTTCCGCGTTTTACCCACCTAGGTTTTTTGTGCAAATAGGCCTATGCACGTTATGTGCAGTGTACACGTACTGGCTCCGATGCCGTAGGAGGGGGCATCTTTAGCGCTGCAGAACCAACATTAAAAATCGTCACAATGTTTTCATTTTAATCTGGATTAATGTATTATATTCTCAACAACTCCTCTGATTTTTTTCTTTCCGAAATTCACCCGGGAAGACCTTTTAAAATGAGAGTTCCGCGTTTTACCCACCTAGGTTTTTTTGTCCAAGTAGGCCTATGCACGTTATGTGCAGTATACGCGTACTGGCTCCGATGCCGTAGGAGGGGGCATCTTTAGCGCTGCAGAACCAACATTAAAAATCGTCACAATCTTTTCATTTTAATCTGGATTAATGTATTATATTCTCAACAACTCCTCTGATTTTTTTCTTTCCGAAATTCACCCGGGAAGACCTTTTAAAATGAGAGTTCCGCGTTTTACCCACCTAGGTTTTTTGTGCAAATAGGCCTATGCACGGTATGTGCAGTATACGCGTACTGGCTCCGATACCGTAGGAGGGGGCATCTTTAGCGCTGCAGAACCAACATTAAAAATCGTCACAATGTTTTCATTTTAATCTGGATAAATGTATTATATTCTCAACAACTCCTCTGATTTTTTTCTTTCCGAAATTCAGCCGGGAAGACCTTTTAAAATAAGAGTTCCGCGTTTTACCCACCTAGGTTTTTTTTGTCCAAATAGGCCTATTGCACGGTATGTACAGTATACGCGTACTGGCTCCGATACCGTAGGAGGGGGCATCTTTAGCGCTGCAGAACCAACATTAAAAATCGTCACAATGTTTTAATTTTAATCTGGATGAATGTATTATATTCTCAACAACTCCTGTGATTTTTTTCTTTCCGAAATTCACCCGGGAAGACCTTTTAAAATGAGAGTTCCGCGTTTTACCCACCTAGGTTTTTTTGTCCAAACAGGCCTATTGCACGGTATGTGCAGTATACGCGTACTGGCTCCGATGCCGTAGGAGGGGGCATCTTTAGCGCTGCAGAACCAACATGAAAAATCGTCACAATCTTTTAATTTTAATCTGGATAAATGTATTATATTCTCAACAACTCCTCTGATTTTTTTCTTTCGGAAATTCACCCGGGAAGACCTTTTAAAATGAGAGTTCCGCGTTTTACCCACCTAGGTTTTTTGTGCAAATAGGCCTATGCACGGTATGTGCATTATACGCGTACTGGCTCCGATACCGTAGGAGGGGGCATCTTTAGCGCTGCAGAACCAACATTAAAAATCGTCACAATCTTTTAATTTTCATCTGGATTAATGTATTATATTCTCAACAACTCCTCTGATTTTTTTCTTTCCGAAATTCACCCGGGAAGACCTTTTAAAATGAGAGTTCCGCGTTTTACCCACCTAGGTTTTTTTGTCCAAACAGGCCTATTGCACGGTATGTGCAGTACATGTA